TTCCATACTATGCGTACTGAAATGGCCTTTTAAATTCCGCTTCTTGAGTACTGTTCTCTCATATTATTTGTCTGAATAGCTGCTACGGATCATGGGAATGAGATGATATATTTTCTCCGAAACTTTACTGGCTTTGGTTTTGTTTTGAATTTACGAGCATATGTGTTGATAATGCCTTAAAATGTGTAAAGTTGTTTTTATCTGCTGTTTCGTTGGAGATTCCATAACAGCAAGACCAGAATTGTCTGACGATGAGTCATTTCCTTATCATGACACTTCATTTTCTAGAAAATCAACTTTTGAAGCTCCAAGTCACTAACTTTATATAGTAGTCCCTGATGTAATTAGTGTCCAAATTGGGTGCAGGTTTCCGTAGGAAGTAGAACAACATTCTTTTAATTAACTCTGACACACTGTGATGCCTGTGCTTTTCAAGCTTTTGGGTGAGTCGAACTGCCTTTGCACCATATAATGTCGCTCGAGACTAGTGTCATCCCTTTCCAATGTCAGTATTTCAGTATTGTTCCAGCGATGAATCATTGTCTGCCCCTTTCCGTTGCTTTAAATTGCTGCATTCATTTTCGGAACCAACTGCTCTAGCTTTCACTCTAGCTTGCTCTGTCTCCACGTTTTTCGTCCATTCTATCGACATACATATAATTGTAAATATAAATGTATGCAACGTGTCTTTCCTAGACGTGAGTGGTTTTATTTGAATACATAGTGGGCTTTCGTTGCTAGCTTATGATAGCGTACACTATATAAAAAGTGCTATACTCTTATCAGTTATCCTTCTACATTCCCTATAATTTTGGTTGGATTTCAGATTCGCGCATTGGGACGCGAAAGTTGCCCAACCGGAACCTAATCGATATAGTACATTTTTTTATTAGAAAATCCTGCAAATTGTCAATACTATTAGGATTCAAGAAGCGTTGTTGGTCCTCTTTTAAACTTGTTTTTTCCACCGGCACGTTTGTGCGGTAACCCAAGATCTATGATAGTTCATACACCATTTAGCAGAATTACATCTCCATGGCTTTTTCCAGTGCATCGTGTAGACCATCTGTGATTGCTTTCGGCACCCTTTTAGCAAAATAATGAGTCACATTTGACTTTCCCATTTCTGTAAATACTGAATCCTCTCTTCCAGCTTTGCCCTGAATCCAGCTGGAAGGATCCAATCAATATTTGACTTTTTTCTTCGCTTTGAATCAGAGGACATAGACGAGCGCACTCGAAAAGTTTGTATCGTAGTTTGGGAAAAACGCTGAAAGTGATCAGATGCGAATGCAGAAATTTCTGCAAATAGGTTCTACTCAGCCCCACAGGAGGTCTACTGCCACAGGAGCACTTTTTCTCAGCCAAAGAAATGTTACAGCTGTTTCTTGGAAATGCAAGCAACTTTTTTACTTAAAATCCAATGACCCTATGGTATTTTGTCGGACGGGTCTCCATCTTCTCCTGGTGGACCATCTTATTAAACGTTGGGGTTGAAAAGAGGCTGGTGTTGTGCAAGACTTCCTCCTTTCCTTCATTTTACCGTTTTTTTTTTCTCGAATCGAGAGAGTCGCCTGCTCGTTGCTCGTTGCATTACTACGACAAAAACGAATTTTCAATAAGGTCACAAGTCTCTTACAATGATTCGGCACGGCATAACCCCATTTGAATACGTAAATTCTCACCTCTCACACATACGACGTGTCGAAAGGGGGCCATGGACAGGAACACGGGGGTGTTTAGGAATCCAGGGGTTACTGTGAGAGCCGTGGGCCCGTACTGATCACTCCGTACTGTCATCACTTTTTTAGTTTGCTCGGTTCATAATTTCTTACCTTCAAAAAGGAGGAATCGTTCCTGTTTGTTATAAATCGATTGCTTACTGGGTGTGGCTACGCCCGGCTTTGCAACTCTGCAATAGTCGAATGAGTGGTTGCGCTTTCTATTATGCTTTGTGTTAAGTGGTTTTGGGCAAACAAGCACGAAAATTAGATCTGAAATGCGGTTCTTACAGCCTTATTATGAAATGAAATGCAACAGACGCACAATTTCAGGGATTCGTTTCTTTCTTCAAAGTTTATTCCGATTTACTCGTACAAGTGCTGTCACATTTACGACATATCGAAATGAGGTGTTGTGGAGCAAGTTAGTGGGGGGATTACATTTCTTTGTAGCGCAGTAACCAGGCGCTCAGGCCCGTAGCCAAGTTAATTGCAAAAAGTGGCTGTGCGTCCTGAATTTTCGGTGCAAACCTGCCATAGCCCATTTGCAGCTTTCGATTGCTTTTGCCATTTGCCTTTTTTGTCCGTCGCATTCTGAAAACTCCTTTCATCATACGTGAATGGCGTATGAAATCGCATCGCTTCGTTTGAACGCTTCATTATTTATGTCGATCTTGCACACCACATTTGTGCTATATCGGATCGTAAGAATTTGCAATTCGTCATTTTGACCGGGGTCATGCGCAGGGTGCGATATCCACACGCGAGAAGGTCATAAATTTTACTGCACTTTTTGTACGTCTTTTCTTCTTCTCTTTGATAGTGTTATAGAGTGCAATGCACTGTTCTTCGTAATCTATCAGCATTTCCAATTGAAAGAGCATTAACTGAGTTGTTTCTCTTCTCTGTTGAGTTCTGCTATTGATTAAGCTCCTCGTAGTCTTATTAGTATCCCCAGTCGAAAGGGCTGCATCAATTTTCTGTAGTCCTTATTTCCAACTATTGATTCATGGTCGTTATGAACAGTACTGGAGTCATTTGCTTCCGCACTTCAGCCTTTTCCATAAGCTCATTACAGCTGTTTTTGTCCATAATGGTAAAAGATGTGGCCTATTAGCTGGCGGTCGAGATGTGGCCATCGTTATTATCCCCATCAGACGACGGGTACAGAACAGGATTATCTTTCAGAGTTCAATCTAAGTAAACCAGTTGGGCCGCGCACGCTAACGCGTGCAACACATTACAGGGTGCTTTCAGAGTTCAGCGACGTGCATTTTTTCATCCACCGACCTGCCGACCGACTGTATTGCTAGCCACATGTTGACAACGCAGTACAAATTACGTTCAGCGGCGCGTGAGCCGTACCCATCGGTGCAGTGTTGTAAACACGTGGCCGTTGGTGGGTCGGTCGGTGAAACAGTGCACGTCGCAGAACTCTGAAAGCACTCATAAAGTGAGTTGGTTAGTGAGGTCAATATAAGCGCTATCATTGGGACAAATCAAATTGGAATCAGTAAACGAAAGTGGTTTAAATATGCGAAGAAGAGAAGGGATCCATTGTAGGCAAGACGTACCTTCAATGATGTAAGGCAAAATGGCGCAAATCCAAGAGACGATCGTCATAGGACCACTTGGGGTCGCCGTGCCAAGTGACCTAATTTCGCACAGGCGACCGCGACGGCGCCTCCTGGTTCACGCACGAATGTCTCAGCAACTTTATGTTCTCCTAAGCCGTTTGTGTGGGAAAAAGTGATATATGATGGGAGAGAATCAGAGCCCACTATAACATTTATCCCTTTCCCCTTCGAAGACCATCCTACTCTTCTTCACGCACTGTGAAGACCACAATTGGTTCACTTCTACACTCATCGAGTCTTACTGTATTGAGTTTTCCACTTCACCTTATAAACGGGAATTTCAATCACTGATATATCGATTTTCAATTTGAGTAGTTCCTTTCTGGAAGAGCTCAAAGGCCTAGTTACAAACGCGATCGAACAGCTCCGTACACTAATGGCTCTAAGGGAGTTAGTCTGAATTGAGCTTTCCACTTTGCCTTCATTTTTACCATTCATTGACTAAGTAAACCATTAAATGCTTTTTTTGTAATGATATGTCATATGAAGCCTTCTTCAATATGCCAAACCAATCGCGTCTATCATACAGAAGTAGGGACCTCAACCACTGAAACAAGTATCGTTCAGATATCGGAATCCATCGGAGTTTCCTTCCAATATCGAGGTGTTAGAGGTGTCTCGAAAGCTGTATTATTTGTGGAATAAGAGCATAGTTACGATCGAAGTTACTCATTAATTTTGTTGCTAGCACCTTTTGATAAGTAATGGTTGTGACCCACCTGCGTCGCGCCATTTGAGACCAGTTTTGACGTAGTTAGCGTCTGCTTTTTGTGAGTTCGCCATGAAATGGATGTCGATTCATCTCTCATTCTTGGTTATTGACTGAGTGGAAGTTTCTCCTAATGCTCTATTTCCATCTCTTCGTATTATTATTGTTTTAACGCGAATTATATTTTGTGTGATTTAATTTTTCTTTGCAGCCTTTCTTTCATTTTCATTATAGATATCGAATGGGCAACATTTCATACAACTCCTAGTTAGGCAATAGGGAACATTTGTTGTTTGAACCGCATTCGTGAGACCGCATCGATGGATGGCGTTCGAATCAGAGAACGTGAAGTGGTTGCCACTTCTCATATGCCATGGTTTCACTCGAACGTGACTCGCGAAGCTACAGAGAGGTATGTGGCTTCACCTTGCGATCAATGGTTATTTTTTGCATGATTTTATACTTAATTCGCAGTACTGAAATTGATCTCAAAATTCTGATTACATTGATTGTTGTTCTCCTATTTTACCGTACTTAGACGAGGGACGCAGATTTAATGAAATTTTCTGAGCACCTACTAGTATGGGATCAAAATTTCTGCCGATCATTCCCATTTGGGACTCAATGACGCAATCGACTTCTTTACAAAATAGTGAGGTGGGTAGGGGAGAAGGGGTGGGGTTATAGCGGTGCAGCCTAGCCTGTTCAAGACAGTGGTTTGTCTTTCAGACGAGGTTGTAAACGACCTCGTAGGGGTGAAAGGCTTAGTCTACTTGTGCAGGTGCCGATCCTGAGCAAAAACGCCGCGGTCCCAGTTGGCGTTATTTTATGAATGAAACTGATCTGTTGAAGTTTTTTCAATGTTCTTTCGTGTCGTTGCTGTATTGAGCATTTCCTACGCAGATATAGACACTCAACATGCAGGAATGAGCCATGAAAAGAATGTTCTATCATTACAGGATGCTGCATCAAAGGGCCGACGGAACTTTTTTGATAAGGGATTCGACGAATTTTCCAGGAGATTACACTTTATCGATGGCGTACAGGGGCAAGGTACAGCTCGTAGGTACCAACCAACCGGATTATTCACATTCACTTCTGTTTAGGTGGAACACTACCGAATTTATCAAAGCGGGGGACAAATTACGTGCGACAATGAGGAGTTCTTCACTAACCTCACCCAGTTGGTTTCGGTGAGTAGCTAGCTCCTTTCATTGGTAGACCAGTTCACGTTGCTCATTGTTTTTCAACCTTATTGATGATTTTACATTCTTCAGCATTACAAGCGCGATGCTGATGGGTTGTGCCATCGTCTGGTGACTCCAATAATATGTGAGAGCTATCGCATCCCGTCGAGTAATGCGGATATTGAGGACCGTACTAGTGCCTTCCTGAAGGCTGGTCTTGTTATACCATCCGGTGACATCCGTCTCGGTGATATTATAGGCCACGGTGAATTCGGAGGTACGGTTACGTCGAATAACCTTCGTTTTGTGCAGGTCTGATTGCACCGCTTTTTCAGATGTGTTGGTAGGCTTCTATAAGGACAAAAAAGTTGCAGTCAAAGTTTCGAAGCGACATGGCAATGGGATGTTGGATTCATTATTGGATGAGTCGCGATTCATGGTGTGAGTGGTATTCCATTATTGTCTCATTTCGTATAGACGTCTTATGTAAGATGTATCCCTATTTTTCGTTTCAGAGGGTTATCTCATCGAAATCTGGTGGCACTAATTGGTGTCGTGTTGGACAATGACAACATTTATATGGTGACTGAATACATGGCTAATGGGAATCTTGTTGATTTGTTGCGCTCGCGAGGACGACATCAGCTCGAGAAGACGCAGTTGATTCAGTTTGCGATGTAAATTTTTTCTTTACAACATTCAAACAACCCTCTCTTTGAGGCTTTCTTTATCTCCCTAATTGGAGCTGAGGCTGTTGTTCACAACAAGTGTTCGAATATGTTGCGTAGTTTGCACTGCTTACTCTTGAGTTTTATTAATGATGTGCTTTATTTCATTTTTCCTCTCGAAATTCCTCCTCTATCTGGAACTCATGGGCCAAGCAGACGTGGTGAAACGGTTTAGGGCCCGCTAACGGGATTTGCAAAATTCAAGACCTAAGTCAGAAATCTGCACTGTGCAGAAGCTAACAACATAGCTGAAGGTTCAGCAAAAAAACGCTCTCCTCTTCTGAAAAGCGCAAATTTTGTAGGCCGGAGTGAATCGGGAGATATTTCTTGTTTTAGTGATATATGTGACGGAATGTGTTATTTGGAAAGTCGCCAGATTGTCCATCGTGACTTGGCTGCACGTAATGTCCTGTTGGATGATGAATATGTTGCTAAAGTGAGCGACTTTGGTCTTGCCAAGAAAGCTCATTCGGCCGCCAATGATAATTCGTCTGGAAAGTTCCCTATCAAATGGACTGCTCCAGAGGCGTTACGGCATAGCGTAAGTAACATTTGTTGTCCAGATGTCCCCATAATTTCGGCAACTTTGTTTTTATTTTTCTTATTTCAGAATTTTTCAACGAAAAGTGATATGTGGTCGTTTGGAGTTTTATTGTGGGAGATATTCTCATTTGGCCGTGTACCGTATCCACGCATTGTAAGCTCTTTTTTCGCAAACTATCCTTATTTATTAATTTAGTTATCCTCCCTTTTTGTTCAGGGTGTCGATGGTCGTTCGGTATGTGTCGTCCATGTGCATGTTTTATGTGTTTGTTTTGTGTGTAACAGTGCTGTGTCGTGTTTTTTAGCTTCCGAAAAAGGATAATAGGTCAAGGTGGCCTTTCGTGTTAAGATGCAACAGTCGTGCCTTCGTTGATACGCTATTTTTGAATCTTTCTTTTTCCAATATGCTGTACATGTGTAAGTCAGCAGTTGTGAGGGTTCTATTCGAATTTCGCTGACATTTGACCCCTCCTTCATGGAAAAGTCGGCGCAGAAGCGAACCTAGTATCTCAGATGCTGCCGTCCCTATTTGATGAGCCCTATTCAATATACTCGTGAAGAGTTGGCCTTTTGAGCGTTTTTCTCCAAAAGGAATCAAAAAATTCATGCCATCCAACTTGAAAGTGTCGGTTTTCGGTATACAACCTTTGTGGGCCCCTGATCACAATCAATTACTTTATGTGAGAGGACGATGTTCTTCGTCTAGTGCTCCACTGCCAAGCGGTGGAAAGCATTTTTCTGAAAGGCTTTAGTTTTAATATCCTTCCTTCTCGCCTTTTGCCCTTGCTCAGCTGCAGATAACCTCGAAACCTTGTCATATGTTGCACGTCTGGGTTTGAAGTCATTGCAGAATAGCTACGCAATTTTAATTCTCAAAAAGGTCGTTTGCTTCAACGGCAACATCTTTAATGAATTCACTTAATTACAATGCATTCGGCACTGAGTTCCAAATCTCCCGTTCATCTCTTCATTTCTCAAGCTTTTCGAGATCATTTTGTCTTATCTCACAGCATGCTCATCATAGATAAATTGGCTGTCATCAAAGGTTGTGTAAGCTGGTTGATTCTTCCTATCCGGAACAATGCTTGGTCTGATCATCAATCTTAAATAACGTTTCATTAGGATTGATTCGCTAATGCTACGCTCCAGCGCATTGTAATAGAATATGAAGCGTAAGCGAGGATTCGATGTGGCGCCAGTGGCGTGCACTGGATCATAAAAATTGGCGAAATTGTGAAATGTCCTTCGTAGATTACGGAGGCCCAAGCCGGCAGAAATGCATTTAAACTTTTCTTCGTATCGAAGATCGAATACTCTTTGTTAACCTTGTGTTGTGAGAGAGTAGGACTAAATGTTGGTGGATTTAATGTGAGGCTGACGAAAAAAGCTGTAGGTAGCTTAAAGTAACACTACCTTCTTTCGATCACCTTGAATGGTCACCGCTTTGGACCACGATAGTTAGAGAATGGATAAACTTCTGCTCTGAAAGTGATGTGCACCGTGCACTGCTTTGTAGTATAGGCATTGTGCGAATATCTTTTCATTTTCTACCTCCTTGAAATTGTTCTCATCTCTTAAGCTGGGATGAATTTCATGTTGATCGGCAAAGAAGTCTCAAACAGCAGTCTCAAAATCTGTTACATCTAAATTATGGAATAGTAAAGTAAAATGAAGATTTGCTAGTTGATATTTGCTCCAGCTGACTTTTAAGCCTTTGCAATTTCGTGGTAAGATCAAACTCAATTAACAGACCAGTACAATAGTTTCGTAGAGACTTTCATAAACCGATGTGACAGACTAATATTGGTTTGTTGTACACTCTCGAGGTTAAAGGTTTCCTTCCTGTTCACATCGATTGCTCTGCATGAACACTGTGTTCTTTTTCCTACCAGTTAAGTGTTTCAAAAACACGAATTTTCTAGAAAAGATTTTTGATATTCTAGCCGATACAAGATGTTGTGCGCCACATAGAGCGAGGATACCGTATGGAAGCACCAGAAGGATGTCCTGCTGATGTTGTTCGTATTATGCATGACGCTTGGGCGCTGCAGCCGCAAGATAGACCGTCATTTGCACAGGTATGCAACAAAATTTTCGCTTTTTATCATGTAGAAAGGTTTT